AACGAGGTTGAGCCTACTTCGAGTGCCAAACGAGATCGAAACTGCCCTCCAGGTGAATGAGAAAGCATTTAGAAGGGCAGGCACACGGAAAATTCAGCATTATTTTAGGGTCTTATAGTCATTTTATTAGAAATATTTAACTTTTAGTGCAAATATTCCTGTGTTCCACCGAAGATACCTTGAGTCAATACTCGTGATCTATGTAAATTTTCAAAACTGGTGCAATCTGCTAAATATGAGACTCATACTTGTGATGGCATTATTTCTATAGCATAAAGTTATTATAAGGTATGAAGACCAAGATGGTCTGGCCTTTTGTGTGGTCATAGTCTTCTTTCGTTGTATAGAAGTTATTTGACCTTGTTTTCCCAATATGGTCATATTGGTAGGAAGACATAGAGGAATGCACCTAGTCCGGAGTCCATTGTCTGCATGATCATTTCCAAAGTTGAACCGTGGACGTGGTACATTCCCATCGTAGTCGGCATCGTCAGTGAGTATCACTATTCTTAGCGCCATACAACAACTCGTCAAAGAGACAAACGAAGCTGATCCTTTGACCAAACGTGTGCAAAACAATTGTGGCATCTCCGCCTCTGCCCTGTGTTATTCGCGTTTCCAGTAGCATCCTATCATGCCTTATTTACTCTAATCATACTTTCTAGCGAGTTAGATCGACAGTGACCGAAGAACGAAACAAGTAAGTTGAGAAGTACTATAGCTGATTTGATTACCGTCAAAAAAGATGTATATTTGCTCTAATCTTTTAAATTACCAGTAATTTTTAAGTAAGAACCCTACAAAGCCTTCAACTCGTCTTTTGAGGGCCTTTCAAATATCCTTCCCTAAATCACCTTTATCCACCTCGGATAGCTTTGCGTCACATGACTTTATATCATGGCTGTAGATTGTTAAGTGGGGGCTAGTAGACATACTTTCTGTGGGTAGCTAAATTATCGGGATCTCGCCCGGTATGTAAATTTGCTTTATTGAAGATTTAGAGATCTATTCCACAGATTAATATTGCCCATTTTTCGGCTAAAACATGCAGTTCATGACATCATTGCACTTCAAGCTCTGTTTAACGTTTCGCTTTCATTGAAGCAGGGAAGAAAATATATCGAAGCACTTTGGTCAAGTGCCCTGTTGGCAAGACAATTAAAAAGGCATTAATTAGGTGCCAGCTTAAGCTCACTTCGTCTCTCTTGCTGAAAAGACTGATTGGTCTTCCATTAACTTCGGTCACGGCCCAGGCGCATGGAACTGCTGTGTGGGGGCTCACCGGTTTGAGTTGTATGTTCGGGGAAGAGGGCGAGAAAGCTGGAGATGCGAAAGAGGAGTGAGCACAGGATGAAGATGTGCCAGGAAAGGATGTGGGCTGCTTGACTGAACGCGAAGGAATAAAGTTGTTTGAGTTAATATCGGCCTCTAATGTCCTGAGTGCCACGGGCGCGAGTCCCGTCCGAGCAAATGGGCCATCAGGACTGACCATGGAGACCTCAAAATAAAAAGTGAATCAAGAAAAGCGCTAGCCACTTTGTATTCGGTTATCAAAGACTGATAATTAATCATAAGTTAAGGGTAACTGAAGAATGAGGTTTCACCTAGCCTCACTCGCTCAAGTACAGTAGAGCAGAATCTTTACTTAAAGGAGATTGCAGCCTAAGCTCAATCATTGGAAGCCATAAGAGTCAGAACTGGGACGTATTGGTATAGAGATAAATGAAACTTCTAACTTGGCATGTCTTCGGTGGGTCAAAAGAAATTATATACATCCTTCCGGGTATGCTATAGGATATTCGTGTTAAATTACTGGTCCATACTTACATTTAAATAAATCTCCACTGTAGATGGACATTGGGAGATGCTTATTTCACTTGATATTATCGTCTTTCTCGTTATTCCATCGTATATAAGTTTAATTTAGTCTAGCCCTAACATCATTTTCTCTTTAACCGAACATCCCGAGTTCGAAATCGTAGCAAATGAACTTGCGCACATATCAAACAGAAGATCAACTGCACTCTGAAGGAGGTTAAAGTCTTGGAAAGATGGTAGAAGCAAATAGTATCTCCATTTAATCATTGGCAGATTAACTCTCCGTGCCAAAAACGCTTAACGTCAAGCGGCGAGGCATG